CCCACGCACACAAAGCCGTTTTACGGAAATGAAGCGATCCCTATTTCGGAAGTCTGGGGTGGGTAGTCAGTAGACTGGATTCGAGTAGTGAATGTATCGTTTGAGAATTGAGAATAATGTCTACCTCCTTTTGCCTCACAAGAGCTGAATTGAAGTACGAAGGCCATTGAGCGTCGCGATTCAGTGAATCGGCCGGCCAATAATCCAGGGCACATGGAGCCTTCCCATTAAGTATGTGAAGAAAGACAAGAAGAAAGAAGAGGAAGGAGAAGATCGAGAGGAAGAAGAAGAAGTAGAAGAAGAAGGACTAAAAGCAGGCAGGAGTCAGTGACAACCACAATCAACTCATTGTAAAATCTCGACCTAACCTCACGATGCTAGGAAATCATGGAGGCGCTCTGCACGAAGAGATAGACACCTCAATGTACAAAAGGTCCCAATGGAGCCATTGGATAGAGGTGCTTAGGGAATCGGACATAAAACATCATCCAACGCACAACTCACGCGAATGGAATAGTCACAATTGCAAATATTCTCAAGCACCCTTCCTGACCTCATAATCATTGCTTGATGTGGTCGCGCCACGCATTGGCACCTGACTAATGGCACAACAAGGGTAGACCGTGGTCAGCTCAAATGTGTCAAATATGGTTTGCTTACCCGCAATTAGCATTAGTTCGCCAAAATTCATTTAGAACATCAAAACCACCTGAAAACATTTACTGGAGGAGAGGAAGGAAATAGATGGCTTAAGCATGCGGTAGAGTCAACACATGGACATCCTCATGTCAACCCGCCAAAGTACGCGGTGAAGATGAAGTAGAGTTGAAATTGGAAACTCATTTTAACCATTTCAGTGGAAAAATCGAGGGGGCTAAGCTCATCTCACAATGAAAACCTCTCCATTCTTACTCTTTCACAAAGTCTAAATGCACTTCGATCAAGACAACCCACACCATCGTTGATAAATGACAATGTGCATTGCTTGTTCCTTTCAGTAGGTGGAACTACTTTTCCCCACTGTTTTCAACCTCAATGTAGTGCCGAAGTGAAACTGCGCGCTCAGATTTCGTAGCATGCAATGATAGGATCCAGGAAATCTCCAACTCTTGTGTAAATACGTTCACTCAATCAATCCCTTGTGCGGCACTCAACTCCTTCTTGCTGATAAAGAGTAGACAACTGTCTGGGCACTCAGTGTGCACAAACTCTTCGAAATTGCAACCTTTCTTGATGGTAGATGACCGCACATTCTTCACCTCCCATGTTGTTTCGTCCCACAACAGGCAGCGCGTGCACCGATGAGGCATCCAGGATAGCGCGGACATTTCACGTGCTGCGCTTACAGAAGTGACCGACTAAAGTTGAAGTGGGAGCCACCGAGGTTGGAATTGTTAGCGCTTAACGTACCGTCCACTGTGAGACGTTTGAACCATTTAAACGTCATGCTTGAGTATCAGGGGGTGCTAGCTTTATGCCTTCATCGGCAAGGAGCTTCGTTAGTCACATTGTTTCATGCACGCACGCACTATCCAGTTTGAAAGTCTAGAATAGAGTGGGTTGGGACATGTGCCAAGGACTGCCAGAAACAGACCACGCCTATCACTTACCACTGCGCTAAGTGGTGCTACGGTGCCAGCTCCTTCCATGATTTTAAAATCGGGAGAGCCAGAGTTTAACATAAAGTCGTCTCGCATAACACAGGATTTAATAAATTTGCTTCATATACGTACATAGGCAGACAAAAAGAGAAGGGGGGGACAGAGAGTGGGTGATAACAAAGACATCAACAAGGAGGGAGAAATGCAATACTCATCCATTCAAATACTCAACCGTCCACCTAACAGCCATCTCGCGGTAGTCGAGCCAAGAACTCGCGCATGTCGTACTCCGCCGCATACTCTCCTGCCTCCACGTCGCCCCAGCTCGGTCCCTTTCCCCCACTACCACCGCCGCTGTTGTCCGACAGCGCTGATGCACCTTCCACTGTCACTGCTGCCGCCATGTTATCAATCAGCCGACTGGTGTCCATCTCTCCCAGCGCCCGATTGTCGGATTGAGAAATAAGGGTGCGCGCTAGGTGGCGTTTGAACGCCTGCAGACTCATAATTCGCTCCTCAATGCTACCTGCGGTGAGGAGACGGAAGACGGAGACCACGCGACGCTGGCCAAGCCGATGGGCCCGATCCATGGCCTGAAGGTCGCGGCAGGGATTCCAGTCGTGTTCCACGAAGATTACCGTATCCGCACCCGTCAGATTCAAACCGAGTCCACCGACTGCGGTGGTTAGGAGGAGGGCGTCGATGGAAGGATCGGCATTGAAACGAGAGATCACGGCCTCCCGCGCACTCAACGAGACGCTGCCGTCGAGACGGAGATGCACAAGGCTCTTGAACTCCGTACTAGGAGTGGGGGAAGGAAAGATAACCATTGAAAGTGCTTTCCTATTTAATCAACTCTATAAACCTTCGTCAAGCCACATTGGATCTGCCAATCAATCCAGCTTCATCCATCCATCCATTCCTCTTAATTCCGTTCGACCACTAGTTTATGGATTTATCCAATTGTTTATCTATCATACACTACTTTCGAAAGTAATGGATTCCCTCACACACATCTAGCCAGCTAGCCGAGCACTCGGGCATTCATCTACAGATAGAGACACCTATCTCAGGG